CGAAAGCACTACGTGTGCAGTGACTGTGGGAAAGGCTTCTGCCAGAAGTACAGACTTGCTCAGCACCAGAGAATTCACAGTGGAGAGAGGCCTCACGGGTGCAGCGAATGTGGGAAAAGCTTCAGCTACAAACACACACTTGTTCGGCATCAGCGGACTCACACTGGAGAGAGGCCCGCACAAGTGCAGCGAGTGCGGGAAAACCTTTAGCTACAAACACACGCTTGTTGGGCACCAGCGAGTTCACACGGGGGAGAGGCCGTATCAGTGCAGCGAGTGCGGGAAATTTTTCAGCCATAGCTGCAGCCTTCGCGAGCATCAGAGAATCCACACTGGGTCTCGGCCTTATAAATGCCGCGACTGTGGAAAATTCTTTACCTCCAACTCCAACCTCGTAAAACACCAGAGAGTTCACACAGGAAGGAGGCCTTACGAGTGCAGTGAGTGTGGGAAATGTTTTACCCAGAGCCCCAGCCTGATTATACATCAGAGGATCCACACTGGTGAGAGGCCCTATGAGTGCACCGAGTGCGGCAAGGTGTTCAGCCAAAGTTCCACCCTCAGCAAACACCAGAGAGTTCACACGGGAGCCAGGTCTTACAGGTGCAGCGAGTGTGGGGAGTTCTTCAGCCAAGGCACCCAACTGGCCCGGCATCGGCAAGGTCACGTCAGAGACAGGCCTCAGGGGTGCAGCAGGTGTGGGTAGGTCTTCCTGCAGGATCCGCTCTTACTCAGCACCAGGAACTTCACGTCCCAGGCAGACTGTGGCTGCCGCTAATGTGGGAAAGTCTTCAGCTGGAAGTCTAACCTCGCTCAGCGTCAGAAATGTCACAGTGGAGAAAGGCCTGGGCATGAGATGGGATAGCAGGGCGTGAGCTCTCTCTCACACAACATATGAAAAACTGAAAAAACCCTGTAGCGACAACCTCGCTTTTGACCCCTGAGCCACAGCTGACAACACAGTTCTTCAGGCTGGCACTGGGCACCTTCGGAGAGGCCCCCGGCGGGGCTCAGGCCGGACAGGCAGGTACCACGGGGGAGCGAGGCAGCAGCTGACATGTTTTCTTTCTTTTTAAAAAAATATATTTTATTGATTTTTTACAGAGAGGAAGGGAGAGGGATGGAGAGTTAGAAACATCGATGAGAGAGAAACATCGATCAGCTGCCTCCTGCACACCCCCTACTGGGGATGTGCCTGCAACCAAGGTACATGCCCTTGACCGGAATCGAACCTGGGACCCTTCAGTCCGCAGGCCGACGCTCTATCCACTGAGCCACACCAGTCAGGGTGACATGTTTTCTTTACTCCAGGCTGGAGGACAGTAGCTGAGGCTGTCTCACCCAGTGAAAGTTGGCAACAGAAACTGGGCGAGGACGCCTACACCCTTCTCAGATTAGGGTTAGTGACGGCGAACCTTTTGAGCTCGGCGTGTCAGCATTTTGAAAAACCCTGACTTAACTCTGGTGCCATGTCACATATAGAAATTTTTTGATATTTGCAACCATAGTAAAACAAAGACATATTTTTGATATTTATTTTATATATTTAAATGCCATTTAACAAAGAAAAATCAACCAGAAAAGTGAGTTTGCGGTGTCACCTCTGACACGCGTGTCATAGGTCCGCCATCACTGGGTCAGACAGAAAAGAGCTGTCGCCTGCCCAGGCCCTCCCTCTGGTGTCAGGATGTGAGGGCAGTTGTGAGAACCACCACTGTGTGTGTTGGAGCTGCGTACATGTTGGAGCAGCATAAATGATTTCCCTTTTCCTCCAGGATGGTCATGTGATACCTAAGAGGTTTGTACCACAAATGTGACCAGAGGGGTTAAAACTCAGATTTTTATTCTACTCATCAGGTGACAACCATAACGGAACTCTTAAATTTGCCACCTGGGTATTTTAATTTTTTTTAAATATATTTTTTTGATTTTAGAAAGGAGAGGATAATAGAAACAGCAATGATGAGAGAGAATCAGTGACTGGCTGCCTTCTGCACGCCCCTACTGGGGACCAGGGGGACCCGGGCATGTGCCCCTGACCAGAATCGAACCTGGGGCCCTTCAGTCCGCAGGCTGGCGCTCTATCCACTGAGCCACAATGGCTAGGGCTCCATTGATTGTTAGAGAAAGTGGGAGAGGGAGAGAGAAAAAACCAATGTGAGAGAGACACATCGATTGGTTGCCTTCCACATGCCCTGGGCCAGGGCCAGGAGCCTGGGACCGAGGTGCGTGCCCTTCACTGGAGTTGAATCCAGGACCCTTCAGTCTGCAGGCTGGGGCTCTATCCACTGAGCAACACAGGCCAGGGCCTCGATGCCAGTTCCTATTGACAGCGGAGAGCCTGCCCTTGTCCTCTGGAGAGCCCAGGTCTGAGTAACTGGTCAGCCACACGCGTGCTGCTCCATGTTTGTGACGGAAACTCGGGGGGCAACACCAAGGTTTCGTTCGGTGGGTCCCCTTGTTAGCAATACGGCTTCAGCGTGTGGTCACACACCATGGGCGGCAGACGAGCGCCACCCCTGTGACCCAGCTGGATGGGATCTCCTGGGCTCTGCCCTCTGCGTGGCGTCTTCCTTTGCTGACTCATGGCTGTCCCCTCATTGGGATAAAAAAACAAGGGGGTGGTCAGGGCGCCACCCCTGGAGGCTCCGGGTTGGGCTCTGTCCCGGCCCCCAGAGCTGCGTCTTGTGTCCGTAACTCATGAGCACACCCGCCTCCCTCTTGCTTCAGCCTTTCCCCAGGACAGCGTCCCCTCTGCGGCCTCGGGCGAGGGCACAGGGTCACACCGTGGGCAGATACAGGTAATCCCACTCCATCTCAGCCAAAGGCCGAGGAGCGATAGGGGAGTCTCCTCTCCAAACCCAGATCAGTGACCCCATGAGGCCCAGGACTGAGGAGTGGACATCTTTGGGGACATGAGTCAGCCTCCTGCAGGGGTGGGGCGGGTGGTTAATTGTCTTAAAAATGTGTTTGCTGCTCTGACTGGTGTGGCTCAGTGGATAGAGCCTCGGCCTGCGGACTGAAGGGTCCCGGGTTCGATTCCGGTCAAGGGCATGTACCTGGGTTGCGGGCACATCCCCCAGTGGGGGGTGTGCAGGAGGCGGCTTGATCGAATGTTTCTACCCCTCTATACCCTCTCCCTGCTCCTCTGGTAAAGAAAAACAAATAAAAAAGTACTTTTTAAAA